ATGCTTCAACTATGTCCATAATTTAGACAACTCACCACAGAATGTATTTAAGCTTAAGTTTAAAATTTGGTGTTTTTCTCTTTATTCATTTTTGAGATATAATTTAAAATTCGAAATTTTCACATTTCCTCAAATTTTTCGAATACGGGTCATTTTGATAAGATTAAGTATGCAACCAAAATTATCTCGAAAATTATAGAGAATAAAATTGCAAACAACTTTTATTCAAAGAAGTTTCTTCTCCAAGTGTAAATAACAAATATATTCCATAAAGTAGGAAAATGGCCTTCTATAAAGTATCCCCCAGATGTTCTGACCATGCCCAAAATATATTCAGCTCACCGCAGGGTAGATTAAAATTAAAAATTTGGTGTTTTTCCTTTTGTCCGTTTTTTAGTTATGTTCAAAATTTCGAAATTTTCACTATTCCTCAATTTTCTCGAATACGGGCCATTTTAGGAAAATTATGTATGGGACAAAACTTATAGAGAATAATATTTCAAACAATTTTTATCCAAAGAAGTTTCTTTTCTATATAAGCGTAAATAATGGATATATTCCATAAAGTAGGAAAATGACTTCCCATAAAGTGGCCCCCTCCCAGATGTTCCGACTATGCCCAAACTACATTTAGCTCACCGCAGGGTAGATTAAAGCTTAAGTTTATAATTTGGTGTTTTTCTCTTTATCCGTTTTTGAGTTCAAAATTTTCACTGTTTCTCAAATTTCTCGAATACAGGCCATTTTAGGATATTTATGTATGGGGCAAAAATTATAAAGAATAATATTTTAAACAACTTTTATTTGAAGAAGTTTCTTCTATAATCGTAAATAACAGATATATTCCATTGCATACTTGGATAATATATTCCAGGTATTGTTCAATTCTAAACAATTTTAATTATAATTGACAATGTTTGAAAATCCCTGTATGTCCAATTTTATCAACGATCAAAAATAACATTTTGCCGTTATCCACTGTTTAGCAACATTTGAAGTTTTTTTAAGGTAAATATTTTTACAGTATACTTTTTTTAAATAAAATTTTCGTACTGTTATTAATTTTTCTAATAACTTTATTTTGCACCTTCCTTTTGTCCTTAATGAGGGTTATTTGGAGAACATTTTTTACTTTCCCCTCTATGTGTGCGTAGGTCTCGGCGTAGGTGCGTGAGCGGGTGCGTGGGTGGATGCGAGGGTGGGTGCATGGGTGGGTGCGAGGGTACGTGCGTAGATGCGTGCGCGGATGCGAGGTTGCGTGGGTACGTGCGTGCGTAGGTGCGTGCGCGGGTGCGAGCGTGCTTGCGCGTGTTTCTTTATACTCGATAACTCATGAAAGGATTAGGAAAAAACACCAAATTATAAACTTAAGCTTTAATCCACCCTGCCGTGAAAGAAATTTGGAATTTTAAACATAAGTCAAAAACGAATGAAGAGAAAAACACCAAATTATAAACTTAAGCTTTAATCTACCCTGCAGTAAGTTGTTTAGATTTTGGACATAGTCGGAAAATCTAGGGGGTACTTTATGCAGGGTCATTTTTCTACTTTATTAAATATACGCTTGCAGAAGAAACTTCCTTAAAGAAAAGTTGTTTGCAAACTTATTCTCTATATTTTTTGTTTTACACATAATTTTCCTAAAATGACCCGTATTTGAGAAATTTGAAGATAAGTGAAAATTTCGTATTTTGAACATAACTCAAAAAGGGATAAAGAGAAAAACACCAAATTTTCAATTTAAGCTTAAACACATTCTGTGGTAAGCTGACTAAATTTTAGGCACAGTCGAAGCATCTGGGGGGGGGGGGGACTTTATGGGGGTCGATTTTTTTACTTTAACGAATTTCAGTTATTTATGATTAAAGAAATATTTTTGTCCAAAGTTTTTTGCAATAGCATTTTTTATAACTTTTGTGCTCACTTTAGTGCCATACATAATTTTTCTTAAATGGTCTGTATTGTAGAAATTTAACAAAAAGTACAATATTTGAATTTTTTAAAATGAACTGTATTCCAGATATTTTTGGAAAACTGCAAATTTCGAATTTCAGTTTAAAAAAGGAAAAGAAAAAAAACAAATATAAAAAAGTGTGTGGAAAATGTATGTATTTAGTTCATCCTCTAAACATTAGATTATACAAAATAACTGGAAAAAGCCTGTAATAACTAGATAGGAAAGTCATGTGTTGGACACATCAGATTTTTATAGAGAATTGCCAAAGAATACCTGAGAATTCCTGGGAATACCTAAGAATTCCTAAGAATACCTGAGAATTCCCAAGAATACCTGGGAATTCCTGAGAATACCTAAGAATTCCCAAGAATACCTGGGAATTCCTGAGAATACCTAAGAATTCCCAAACAGATGTACACAAGAATTCCCAATGTATTTACCCCTCGGATTAAGCAGGTATATTATTCAACCAAAAAGTTACTTTTTCGGATTATATTGAAAATACCGTTGCTTCCGAGGTTGCTTCTGCGTTGAAAAGCTTAGGGTTCTTAATTCCGTAATACTGGTTCTTTAACAAACTCTTAAAGCTTGGAGATCCTTACTTTTCTTTAGTTCGTTCCAGGCCAGAATATGCATCTCTTGTCTGGAACCTTATTTATAATATTCATAAAAGATCATTGGAAAATGTTCAGCGGCGATCTCTTAAGTACCTTTCTTTTAAAATAGATGAGCTGTATATAATTCGAGGTATTGAAGAATCTCTGCTTTTTTCGAAAAAAGAAGGGTAATTTTCAGTGTTACATTTTTTTATAAAATATTACATAACACTATTGATGTACTATTTGTGATAAATTAAATAAATTTTAATGTTCCCCAAACAGCCATTAGATATCATAAAACATTTTATACAGCAAGTATTTGAACGAACTTAGGAAGAAATTCACCTATAACGCTAATGTGCTCAAATTTTAATTAATTTTGTTCTGATTGGGATATTTATTTCGACCATTAGTTGTACTAATTTGTAGCTAATGTATTTAGGATTATTTCTTTTCTTTTTTTTTTCTTGCTGTTGCTGAAATTATTTTCTGTCGAAATATTATGTTTAACATTTATTTCATGTATTTTGTTATGTAAATGGATTAATTTGTTGGGCAATAAAATTATTTTTATTTTAATAAGCAAAAAAATGTTTATTTTGATGCACCTACCACCTTTAAAAGTTTGTCTGTATGTTAACGAGAAATCCTATATAATTCCCAAAGAAAAATATTTTTGGAATAAATTCCGAATTCTATTTATTGATATTTGTTATTTTTTAGGTTCAATGACTCGAAACATGATGATCAGCTACGCCAAGAATATCCTTGATACTTAAAAAAATGGTACGAGAATAAGCAGATTTGATGCTATATCACATTGTGGTGCGAAGACGTGGCTTGTATAAATTTGGGGTATCAGTTGATAGAAAACAGTACGCATAAATAAATTTAAATCTGCAGATGCATCAGAGATAGCCATATTCCATACCACAATATGTCATGCGTGAACTCTACGAGATTTCATCGGCTAAGTATCATTCCTCTGTAATGTTTTGTATCATTAGGAACACGCAACATTGTAAACAATTATGACCAGGGTTTTTTTGACCTTTTCCCTAGGTCAGAGAGAATAAGTGAATACTAAAAATAATGTATAGTAATAAAGATTGAAAATATATATACTTTTAAGAGTTTTATTATGTCAGCCATAGTTTTATACCAAAAATGAAAATAAACTGAAATTATACATTAAAAATACATTCATAAATTAACTATATTTATAACACTTATCCACTCTCCTGGTTAAAATATTACTTATCTATCTATTAGGCTCTGTTCCGCCTATTTTTTGCCTTTAGCCTCCTTCTGACACTTCCATTCATTCTCATTCAGTGTATTATCCACATAGTTTTCAGAATATCAAGTGTTATACCTACCTATCTGATGCTTGGTCTTGCAAAGTTCATCTTCAGTACACCTGCTTATGTGACATCTATATCTTGATGTCAAGTTTGATTGAACACCCGTTTATTGCCTATTACTCTTATACTTAACCAGTACTGGCTTGACTTGAACGCATATGTCAAATTCGGCCAAAACGCAGCCTTGGTACACAAATATCTATTTTACCGCTGGTTTCATTACAAAAAACTGGAGTAAAGGGTAAAATTATCTCTTGTCCAGTACACTCGTATAATACACTTGAGTATTAGCCTATATTATTTTTGATTGAAGACGTATACATTTAAAAATGTCGTTTACTTAAAAATAAACATTTAATTTTGATATTTTATTTAACTCGATCAAAACATTAAATTATTATTTTCCATGGCTTATACCGGACCTGTATGTACTCTAGTAGCCATGGAGTAGCTGACAGTGTTGCCGTCAGTGTCAGTTGCCGCCACATATTCATAAGTGACATACGTTTTATAAATTCATCGTGTTAGAAATTTGTTGACATAAAGAGATAGAAATTTAAAGTGACGTCTTTTATTACTTCGAATGAAAAAATCGATAATGCAATTTTCTAACCTAAAAAAAATCGTGATGATATGTCCAATGAAGTGGAGAGGGGTAGAATGATAACTGTCAATGAAAAAGTCTGGACACTATGCACAATTTCGTTTTGCACATTTTGTAAACAAAATTCAGGGACGGTTTAACAACATTTTGTGCAACAATTATAAAATAGTGCATCGAAAAATAATTAACAAGTATAATTTAATACTAAATCGGAATAAAAGCATAAAAAATCATAAATATAAGCAAGATAACAAAGAATTGACGCCAAAAAAGCTTACAACAGCCAAAACACAAACAAAAAACAGAGCTGAACATGAACATAATCGCTGAATAAAGTCGATCCTGGAATTTGTTTACAGTGCTTTAGGGCAACCTCTCCTTATCATTTACGTGTGTAAGAGTGGAAGGCTGAATCACGCATAATTTCTACACTCGTGATGGATGCGCAGACGGTACCTTATCGTTCTACCCTCTCTACTTCTTTGGATATGTCAAACAAAATTGAACTTGGCCTTAAATGTCATTTAAAAGCACCCTAAAATTTGTCCCGCTCCAGCCCCTGGCTATCCGAACTCGCCTACAGTGTGGTTGTAAGTGTTCTGTGATTTGTTGAAAGTGGTGTTTTTTTTTAAAAATTTTAAAAACTATTTTTTTATGGAAAAACATGAGTTTCGTACCACAGATTTATCGAAAGATTCTGTCCTTACGTCAAAATCTCCTTAGAAAAGTATACTCTGTAAATAAAAATGTAGACCAAGATCAAAATTATTTAGCAAGACGAATTTTTCAAAAAATTGAAATAAAGGGCCCAATTACCGTAGCAGATTATATGAAGGAAGTTTTAACTAACCCAGCAGCTGGTTATTACATGCACAGGGATGTATTTGGCGAGGCAGGAGACTTTATAACATCTCCAGAAATATCTCAAATTTTTGGTGAAATGATTGCTGTATGGTTGATTAATGAGTGGCAAAAAATGGGATCTCCAAAGCCTTTTCAAATTATAGAAATGGGGCCAGGTAAGGCGACATGTATTTTAATAATAATTCGAATTTGTATTGAATTTTAACTAGGAAGTTAACAAGTACTTCACTTTTGTCTCTATTTATACTGAAATAAATGCATCCCTATTGGTATGTTGCTATATTGTTTTTAGAGTTCAGGTTAGTTGTTAGTTTTTATTTGATCTCAGGAACTCTAGTGCTGTTTTCTGTTTGAAACCTATTTGATAGTAATCAATCACAATAGTGAAAGATATCTTTAGTTATTTAGGTATTCTATTTTTAACTAACTTTAAAGTTGCTAATGCATTAGGTATTATTTTTCTCATGATTATAATTTTATTAGGAAGGGGAACATTGGCCAGTGATATCCTTAAAGTATTTAACCATTTTAAGCTTAATCAAACTACATTGCACCTAGTAGAAGTCAGTCCACATCTAAGTGAGATTCAAGCTAAAAGGTTGTGTGGCCATAGCACTTTTGTAAAAGAACAGGAGACACCTTATAGACATGGTAAGTTAATTGATTGATAATTAATAACACTGTTAAATAACATATTTTTAGGTACAGCAAAAGAAGGTGTTGAGGTTAATTGGCATAAACAGTTATGTGATGTACCAAAAGGATTTTCACTTTTTATTGCACATGAATTTTTTGATGCATTGCCTATTCATAAATTTCAGAAAACAAACATGGGGTATAAAGAAGTACTGATTGATATTGACATTGGAACAGATATAAGTAACAAGTCTGAGCATCCCAAATTAAGGTAATTGAAATAACAGTAATTTCCATTTTTTTAATAATTGGTGTTTATTTTAAAAATATCTGTTTTTTATTAATATCCCTACACTCTTGATGATTTTGATTAAACTTGGCCGGTTTATTTGTAGCTCATAGCTCCAAGAGGATTATTTAAAACTAATAATGAAAAATTGAATTAAAAAAAAATTAACACCTTGAATCTTAAAGAGAAAAGCAATTTAGAGCACATATTAACTCTGAAATGTTACTCATAATAGACCAATACTGACATCACAATATATACCTGAGCCCTAACAACTATATGTTGGAACAAACAGTTATTTTACGAATAAAATGCCAATTTGCCGAAATTCTTTTATTCTATTTTTTTTTTAAATGTAAACATAAAATTAACAATATTTTTTATGATGCATGGAATTATTTTTACAGTTTAATTATATATATTTTATGTTGATTACTATTTAATTACTTGTTTGACAATCGAAAAATGCTGACAACTAAATATTGGAACAAGTGCTTTTTAACCAATTAAAATAAAAATTAATAAGGCGTAACGTCGCCCTTAGCTCGAATAACAGTCTGAACTCTATTAGGCTTGTACCAACCAGGCCTTCACAGAATTCAGGGGTGAAACTATCCCATATTTCTTACAATTTAGCACATAGTTGTGGTAAAATACGCTGAGGATTATTTCTTAGGCGCTGTTTCATTTTGTGCCAAAGTGTCTCTATTGGATTAAGATCCGGGCTGCTAGAGAGATGTGACAAAACTTTAATGTCATGTTCTCCCATTCATTTTTTAGTAGAATGTTCAAGGATATCTTGATATTTGGCTGCTTTTACTATGCCTTCAATAAAGTGTAAAGTTCCCAACGCTTTGGCCGACATACAACCCCATACCATGATGCCATGCGGAAACTTTACAGTCCTCTTGAGACAATCCTTATGGAATGCTTCTGTTTTTTCCCGAATCACACGCTTTAGGTAATCTCCCACATAGATATCAAATTTCCTTTCGTTGCTATAGATTACTTGGTCCCAGTTATGTTTGGTCCATGAAAGTTTTGATTTGGCCCAAATGTAACGATTCCTTTTTTGAGTTTCCGTCAACAATGGTTTTTCTTTGGCCTATTCGAATAATTTAAAAATTAGAAAATGTATACCGCAAAGAAGAACCTATTAAACATACCTTATAAAAACTAAGACCGCTCTTGTGGATATATTTGCGACAGCATTCTCTGGAAACATTAAATAAATAAATAAAATTGTCTTTATTGAACAAATGTACAACATTTGCACAGGATAGGCGAAAGATTAACTTCAAGCTACTCTAACTCTTAACCTATCAGGTTTTCATTACTTAACCTAAATAGATACTTATACAAAAAAATTTAAATTTATTTATGAAACACAAAATTTTCTTTTTTTTACACAAACAGTGATATAAACGTTATTGTTGACTTAAAAGATTTACTTTTAAATTGAGTCGAAAACTAGGTAGTGAACAACTCCAGGAACTCTAGGGAATTCTCTGTGCCTACATTCCGAGCCCTTTACTTAACACTAGTGGGCAGCATCCTCTTATATGCTTCACCAGTCTGGTCACCTCATTCCGGACTCGTATTTTAAATTTAGAAGCAGTTCAAAATAGGTTTCTAAGAACTTGTCAGTGGAGGTTACATATGCCTTATCTTTCTAAGAGGGAGCTTAATAACCATTTAAACTTATTGTCAGTTGAGAAAACGTTAATTAGTAATGATCTTTTATTTCTTTATAACCTTCTGGAAGGGAATATAGCTTGTCCGGATATGTTGGAGCTAATAAACTTTAGATTAAACAACAAATATTAGAGAGAAACCATTATTTTCAATTAGCTTCCATCATACGAACTACGGACTCAACAGTCCTTTAATCGAATTTAAAAGGCAAGGAAATTAAATTAACAGACACACTGATCTTTTGGGAGTTAGTCTGTTTAGGTTTAAAAATCAGCTGAGGGAGTACTTATCGAGTTAGCTTTAGCTCTAAGTTTTTTTCTAAATTTTTTGTGATATTTGAAGATATTTAAGTTTTTTTTCTTTTTTGTGTGATACTTTAGGTTAGGTTTAAAATATCTACTGATAATAATAATTTTGTAAAAAGAAATTTTCCGTAAATAAATAAAATAAAATAAAAAAACTGGAAGGTATTAAATAAACTTACTGCATTGTATGTGAACGATCTTTCAAACTTAGCAGAAGAGTGGTGGGGCATGGTAAGAGTATTATGTCTTATATTACGTGTATGGACAGCATTACGGAAAATGATTTTTTTCAAATAAATAAACCGGACTTTTGAATTTAATTAACCGGAATAGAAAATTCACAAAATGTAAATTACAAATTTTAACCATTTAAGTTGAGAGAAGTAATGTGAGATATGATCAAATTTTCTTAAGTTATATATACCGGGTGTTCTAAATTAAAGCGTTACAGCCGCTTTTTATAAAAAAAAAACGTTTCAGACGAAAGTTTTATAGTTTTGTAGGGAAAAACTTTTGGCTAAAATCGTTTTTTATAGCTAACCATAAGATGGCCAACTTTTTTTTGGCGCAGCAACATTTTCAAGTAGCTGTTACTCAAAAAGTAAAAGTCCAATAAAAAAAATATTTTCCTCAAAAGTTTCTTATTTTTTTATGTACTTTAAGAATATGTAAGAAAAAAATGGGATTCCCATTTAAAAAAATTTAGCCAAAATGTTTCCCCCAAAAAACTATAAAACTTTTGTCTGCAACTTTTTTTTCTAAAATGCATATTTTCGGCGGTATTTAACTGTAACACTTTAATTTGAACACCCGGTATATATAGAAAATTTGATTATTATATATATCTACAGCCTACAGTAGTTATTTTGAACACGCTGAAGCTGGTTTTGGGAGAGCATATCTAAACATGAAAAATAAACAATATTACAATAATTTAGTAGTGAAAGAACTAGACATTCACATAGTTTTTTACGAGTTTTGAAGTTCAAAATGTGCTTGTTAATATAGAGTAACCGCACCCTGATGTAACATTTCTGTAGTACACTTTTAATGTGACTTTTAAATATAAGTTTATTGTCAATAAGTAAACCTAAATTGTTTGCCTCTTCAGAAATATTAATATTAACGCCATCCAATTCTAGTTTTAAAAAGCTTTCAATAGTATCTCGTTTAGCTTTACTGCAAAACAAAACAGCAGTCGTTTTTAATGGGTTAATGGTCAAATTATGATCTTTAGAATACTGCGTAATCAAAGTTAGGTCAGTATTGACTGAGTTTGTTGCGTTATCAAAGGATCAAAAATATGTATTAATTGTGTGTCATCAGCATAGAGTTGTAATAAGCCATTATTTATTATTTTAATATTAATGGGCCCAAAATAGACCCTTGAGGTACACCTGACACAATATTTTTAGACATCGAAAGATTATTGTCCACATACACTTGCTGGGACCGCTTCCATAGGTATGACTTAAAAAAAGATAATACAATATGGTTGCAACCATAATATTTGAGTTTTGCCCACAGCAAATCGTGGTCAATTAAATCAAACGCTTTGGAGTAGTCTAAGCTAACTAAAATGACACCCATATTTTTATCCATTGCTCTTATAATATTCAAATTTAGCATTGCAGAAGTGGTGCTAATACGAAAGCACACATTCATACAATTGAGAGTATACTACTCTTTCAAGAATGTTAGAGATAACTGGTAATAAGCTTATTGGACGAAGATCACGGACAGAATCTGGCTTAGGTTTTTTTGAAATTGGACATACAATGGATTCACGCCAAGCCTTTGGGAAATATCCACATTGCAGACAACAGTCTATGATATGAGTAATATAATTGCCAATTATTGGCCAGCATAACTTTATCATATGCAATGAAATACCATCTCTTCCAGTGGCATTTGATTTGATAGAGTTTATAGCATCGAACACTATGTTTTGAGTGACGAGGTTAAATGCAAATGTCCTGTTACCAAATTGGTTATTCATCCCAGTTTCTCTATTCCACCTTGCGGTTACTTCTCGTAGTGTATTTCTTCTTCCCGACTTACATATTCTAATTAAATGCCTTATACTTCCTTGAGAAACAGCTTTAGGACGGCCTGAGCTTTTACCCCGAACATCAATACTGGCAGTTTCACCATATTTCTTAATTATATTAAACACAGTAGTTGTTACTATATTTAATTCACTGGAAATTTCACGCATTGTTTTCCCTTTATGGTATTGATGAATAATAATTTCTCGCACTTTTGGATCAGTAGGTTTTGCACGTACCATTATTATATTTTACTTTTAATAAGACTGACAGTTATTAATTATTAATACTCAAATGACGCGTGACAATTATTGTTGATAACACACTACTTACTCATATGTTTCATTTCAAAGCCTCCTTCGCGTTAGGCTGATAAAACTTAAGAAACTTAAGGCAAAGCTAAATATGTTCCAATATTTAGTTGTCAGCATTTTTCGATTGCCAAACAAGTAATTAAATAGTAATCAACAAAAAATATATAATTAAACCATAAAAATAATTCCAAACATCATAAAAAATGTTGTTAATTTCATATTTACAATTAAAAAAATTAGAATAAAAGAATTTCGTTAAAGTGGCATTTTATTCGCAAAATAACTGCTTGTTACAACATATAGTTGTTAGGGCTCGTACTACATTTATATTATACATTTAATACATATAAATGTGTTTATTATTGTAAGAAGCCATAGTAAATATTTTTTCTGCATTACTAGGTATGTGCTTGCTCGTAACCCAACACCTATACAACATTCAGTTATAAATTCCAATGAAAAACGAGACCACTTAGAGGTTTCTCCAGAAAGCATGCTCCTATACAGGGATATTTGTGAAAGAATAAAGAATGATGGTGGTTTGGCTTTGATTTGTGATTATGGCCATGATGGTACAGGCACAGATACATTTAGAGCATTCAGGAAGCATAAGCAAGTTGATCCATTGGAATATCCAGGGTCCTCCGATTTGACAGCTGACGTCGATTTTAATGCCATTAAACAAGTATGTAAAACTGTACCTACATTACATAATTGTACCTAATTTAGTTAAGAATGTTATTCACTCATAAAAGGATTAAACACACCTTGTAGAGACTGCAATATGATTGCTACCATCTTTAATCATTTTAATACCTTTAGAAAAAAGTTCTATTACAGGTCAGTGGTTTAAAAATATTTGCCTTTACATTTAAGTTTACAAATAAAGATGAATTTCGTACGAATTTTTACCAATTCCAGAATTAGATATTAGGATCAAAAAGGTAAATGGTCAAAATATATTTTTTACATGGGCAAGCTAAATGGGTGAAGGTCCCAAATATTTTTAAATGGGTGAGCTTAAGGGGTAAAGAGCCAAATACTTTCTATGGGAATACATACGGGAGAAAATGCGAAAGTTGTAAAGTGGCCAAATATTTTTATATGGGCTGGCCTAAGGGACTAAATATTTTTACATAGACTGGTTTAAGGTGTAAATCAATGCATCAATAAGTTTTTTATTCATTACAATTACTTAAGATTTTTATTTAGGGATTTTTACAATTGTATAATAAGGCTATATTGAACATTCTGCTTTACAACTCTTAAGTTTAGCAACCTAGAACTATTGAAACCACTTTGTTGACAGCATCAAGTGTGATGTTAAGTTAATATAGTGCTTTTTTGTGAGTGAAAATAAATATATTTAAGTAGCTATTAAAAAGACTTGCATTAATTGGGTTGAATTAAGAAATCAGCAATATTTCGTATGTATAAAATCGTCGTTAATTACTGTTAGAGAGTTGTCTGTACCTACAGATTGACAGAAATAGCTGAAGTCGCCAATGTCCTATGCGTAGTGAATAGAAGTGTGGCGAGCTCACTTTATTTCACTGTTCGGAGCTGCTTTTGCTATTTCTATCGATCGGTGCCTACCTTTCTTTATATAGACAACGCTAAAACTAGATACCCTTATTTTAAAGAAGTCGTTGAGATGTGCCATCTAAGGAATATATTTAAGTAAGATCCTATTTGTATATTGACCTGTCTTAAATAAAGTTGTTTTATTATTTTTAAAAGGTTTTTTATTTCATAAAGAAGGGATCTTTTATTTTCATGTATTTTTTGCCAATTTGAACTATTTCAATTTATAAGAAAATAATATACATATACAGAACGGCCTTTTGAATACCCTGTGTATATTGTGAAATATTTCTTTAAATTTAAGATTTTTTAATTTTAGATGGCAAGCCAAGTTGAAGGCGTCCTTACATTTGGTCCAATTACTCAACGGGAATTCCTCCTTAAAACAGGTCTTGACGTTCGAGTACAAAGATTGAAACAGACAATAACAGACCAAAAACAGTTGGACAATATTACTGAGTGTTACAAAAGTTTGACTGATACTGATAAAATGGGCGAAAGGTTCAAATTTTTTGCGCTTATTCCAGAAACCATGAAGCCGATATTGGATGTTTATCCTGTGGTGGGATTTTCGGAAAAATAAGTTATAAATATTTTTTACTGCTGTTTGACTGTGATAATTTTAAAATAAGAATAAATAATTTTGTAGATGACTTGTAACTGTATTATTGTAAATAACATATGTTTCCTATTGTATTTATATTATCAATAAAAAAATATACAAGAACATAATTGTTCACACATTTTTTGGATCTGAAGCATATTCCATTAATAGGAAGACTATTGCCAGTCTTGCAGCAAACATCAAGAAATTTGCCTATTACCCCAATCGGAAAGTTGATAAATGAATCAAAACTCATTTGAATTTAACATTTAGATTATTATATATGAAATAATTATAGAGTTAATAAAGAAAACACTCAAAACAGTCCACCACTTTATTGTTTATAATACTGTAGAACGCTTTTGTTATAGTTGATCGCCCTCACCAGACATAACATTTTTATTAAATTCTACAAAGAAATTATTTTTAGAAATAAATATAAGTTTTCTTGCATAAAATTCAGATTGGCATCTCGATTAGTATCCAAAAAATGTTTTGTATTCATTGTTTAAATCTGTGGCATCACCAACTAATGAAGGTTACCATTCAATGCAATCTCGTCCCAGACAACACACCAAATCCCAGAGATATCCACAGAATATCTTTTGTGGATATCCAATATATCCACAGGATATCAGAAATATTCCGTAGATCTAATATGGCTATCCAAATGTCCGTCTATATCCAGAATATAGAAGATATCCTAATGGATATTCAGCAAAATATCTAATGGGTATCTTCCAGAAAATACAAGAAATCCCAGAGATATCCACAGAATATATTTTGTGGATACTCAATATATCCAATATGGATATCCAACCAAATGTCCGTCTATATCCCAGAATATAGAAGATATTCGGATATTCAGCAAAATATTTTATGGGTATCTTTAGTAGAGGTTCATAAGTAACCAATGATAATTGAATAACATCGAAAGAAAATAACAGAGATAAAAAATATTTTCAACACTCTGCCTTTGATTTTGCCCACTAAGGAGAAAGTCAGCCTTATTAGGACTCTTCAGCAATAAATGAAAATTCTCCACTCCAGTCTCTAATGGAGTGATTAGGACACAAATTTCGATCGAACTCAATTACGGCGGGTCGAGCATGAGTAGATGCGATAGTGGTATCGCCATCTATACTTAGTAAGCAGAATCAAATAACATCTAGTGGATATCCACGATGGTTGCGTTCGCGCCTAGACTTTGATATATTTAGTGGATGTTCATGGGATATTGAATACACCTTAAAAAAATAATTTTAAATATCTGAACGGTACTATTAGCCACAATGGCGTAATTTTTTAATAATTTGCTATATAATTACTATTATTTATGGACATTTGCATGTCTATAAATTACATTTCATGGATATAAAATAGATATCTACTATGGACTGGACATTCAGTGGATATTGGGATGTTCAGTAGATATCCAAAGGATTTGGTGTGCTGTCTGGGGTTAGGATAGTCCTGTCATCTAACCTCTCCCATCTCGACCTTTCCATATCAGTTGTGGATATCATTGGTTGGAGAACTTTGTTTAGTTTGGTATTTCATAGTAGACTCTATAAATTAGGAAGTAACCCCTCTGGTGTAGCTAATTGGCCTTGATTTTTCTTCTAATGTAAGGAATCTCAGTCTTTATAGACATTCACAGTAGCACAATACGTGAACCGCAGTTTCCTTATATTTCTTACAGAACCGGCACAAGGTCTCGAATATCAGGCCGATGTTATGCATATGTTTTTTAGTACTCTCCCAGACAGCACACCAAATCCTTTGGATATCTACTGAACATCCCAATATCCACTGAATGTCCAGTCCATGGTAGATATCTATTTTATATCCATGAAATGTAATTTATAGACATGCAAATGTCCATAAATAATAGTAATTATATAGCAAATTATTAAAAAATTACGCCATTGTGGCTAATAGTACCGTTCAGATATTTAAAATAATTTGTTTTAAGGTGTATTCAATATCCCATGAACATCCACATATATCAAAGTATAGGCGCGAACGCAAACCATCGTGGATATCCACTAGATGTTATTTGATTCTGCTTACTAAGTATAGATGGCGATACCACTATCGCATCTACTCATGCTCGACCTGCCGTAATTGGGTTCGATCGAAATGTGTGTCCTAATCACTCCATTAGAGACTGGAGTCGAGAATTTTCATTTATTGCTGAAGAGTCCTAATAAGGATGACTTTCACCTTAGTGGGCAAAATCAAAGGCAGAGTGTTGAAAATATTTTTTATCTCTGCTATTTTCTTTCGACGTTATTCAATAATCATTGGTTACTTATGAACCTCTACCACAGTTTATTCCTTATGAATAGATTTCAAAGATGAATTTTATAATTAATACTACAAGATGGTTTCCATGAATCTCTTTATTATCTCATTAACACCTATATTTATAATATCACAAACAATAACAATAAAAAATAACAATTACAATTATTTAATAATTTAAATACATATTCAAAACATAATATTCCAATTTCGACCTCGTTCAATGTTTTGCAAATAGTTTTTATTTTGATTTACATTTTAAATAAATAAAATAATTAATTTAATATACAGAATGTTGATTTTATTATGTTCAAATCTGAACATACTGGCGACTCTCAACTTGATTCACCCGGATTTTTGGTCCTGACTGAGGCTAGTGGCTGCAGTTCGATCATCTCAGCTTGGTGTGGCGATGCTGGTGGACCACGGCAGATGTGGTGGTGGATCTTTTTGTATAGGACCCATAGAGCTATTAGTATAGGTAACGTGATAGCAACTGTGATGGCATTCGAGGTGTAGTTGTGGCTCTTGATCCTCTTCCAAATTTTCTCATGAACTGCATTTTCTTCGGAAATTATGGAATTTAAGTTATCCGTAATTTTAAAGACAGGTTCCTTCGGGATTGTTGTTTGGATATCTTCTGGTGCACGTTGGCTGAAGTTAAACGTTGTTAATGCCGATTTAGTGTAGGTCGATAAAATTGGAGCTGTAGCCAAACGCTTTGGTTGCAGGATATTTTGGTTTGTCTTAATGACACAGTCTTCTGACAGTTTTATAATGCCTGTAATGTTCAATAACACGTCTTCTCTAATACCACTGCATGTTACAGCTATCCTAGTAGGTTTGTCCGTGAGAAACAGCCATGTGTTGGGCATGTGTAGCTGTTGCCATACAACTGAAGATGTTGAAAATTTCCTTACGTGACAGTAGTTGCGTCCTGGTCTCTCCCCAGACAGCACACCAAATCCTTTGGATATCTACTGAACATCCCAATATCCACTGAATGTCCAGTCCATGGTGGATATCTATTTTATATCCATGAAATGTAATTTATAGACATGCAAATGTCCATAAGTAATAGTAATTATAGAGCAAATTATTAAAAAATTACGCCATTGTGCTCGCCACTGTGGCTAATAGTACCGTTCAGATATTTAAAATTAATTTTTTTAAGGTGTATTCAATATCCCATGGACATCCACTAAATATATCAACGTCTAGGCGCGAACGCAAACCATCGTGGATATCCACTAGATGTTATTTGATTTTGCTTACTAAGTATAGATGGCGATACCACTTTCGCATCTACTCATGCTCGACCTGCCGTAATTGAGTTCGATCGAAATTTGTGTCCTAATCAGACTCCATTAGAGACTGGAGTCGAGAATTTCCATTTATTGCTAAAGAGTCCTAATAAGGATGACTTTCTCCTTAGTGGGCAAAATCAAAGGCAGAGTGTTGAAAATATTTTGAGTGTTGAAAATATTTTTTATCTCTGCTATTTTCTTTCGACGTTATTCAATAATCATTGGTTACTTATGAACCTCTACTAAAGATATCCATAAAATATTTAGCTGAATATCCGAATATCTTCTATATCCTGGGATATAGACAGACAATTGGTTGGATATCCATATTGGATATATTGAATATCCACAAAATATATTCTGTGGATATCGCTGGGATTTCTTGTATTGTCTGTGGAAGATACCCATTAGATATTTTGCTGGATATCCATTAGGATATCTTCTATATTCTGGATATAGACGGACATTTGGATATCCATATTAGATCCACAGAATATTTCTGATATCCTGTGGATATATTGGATATCCACAAAAGATATTCTGTGGATATCTCTGGGATTTGGTATGTTGTCTGGGTCATAAATTTCATCGATAACACAATTAGGACTGGTCTCAATATTTCTTACGGCAGAAGGTGAACATATATACTGATGATTTGGAACTGGAATGCAGTGGTTAATTTCTTCTTCCCTGAATTCGAAGTACAAATTATTATTATAGTCGATGGCAATAAGATTTCTTGATATATCTAGTAGGTAGTAGGAGCCGTTTGCCAGATGGAATGGTGTAGGTGTGACTCTGATCAGCTCATAGTTTGAGATGTCTAGTATCACAAAGGGGCTGAAGATCTGGATTTCTTTATCGGTGTTTTCTAGTGCTATGTTTATCAGATCGTACAGAGTTCCTCTATTAAACTGAATATCTAGAATTCGGGAATATTGATGTGTTAATTCACTTAGGAAGTTTGATCCAATCTGGTAGGCACTTAAAGTATGAATGTTTAGGGTGTTGACATCGATTTTATTGTACCAACTTTGCATACCATGTATTGCATCGAGGCCTTGGTTGAGTTTTGATCTAAAGCGTTCTAGTTGGTTTTGTATTCTGACTTCTGTGTCGTTGATTTTGGATAATGTAGATATCATTATCTTACTTTGATGGCTAGTTGTTTTTATGAGTTCTTCTTGATTTTGTTGCATCAGTGCTTCAATATCTTGATACACTTCGTCATTGACGCCAAATACAGATGTTAGCAGTTTTCCAAGAATACCTCTTTTAAAACGTTCAACGTTTGTGGTTAAGCTTGCATTAAATTTTTGCAACTGTTTTTCTTGTTCTATTAAATGGCACAGGAGAATGTTGCAATGGGTTTCTTGAGACAGTTCCGTGGTATACTGACAGAGATTTGTGAAATCTTCCACCACTTTTGATGCATCACCAAAATCTTTAGCAATCTGTGACTTGTTAAATTTTACTTCTATCCTGAAC